ACAGTGGGTAAATTTATAGTTATTCACGGTGAATGTCACCGGTATTTCTGAGTTTCATATTTTTATTAGATTGAACTATTGAAATAACAACTTTTTTATCTCCTGTGTCGAACAATAAAAATTCGATTTGACTCCAAATTCCAATGTAGGTGTTTTCATGACTTCCATTGAGATTTTTTTTTTTTTTTTTTTTATCGCTTGGAGCGCACGAAAGGGAATCCCTATAATGTTCAAAGAACATCGTGCGTTCCTAGGGAGGATAGGGACAGGAGGTAGGTATTGGAATTTTTCTTGAACTTTTGGAGATTATATGTTGTTGGGAATACTTCCACAGGCAATGAATTCCAGAGCCTAGCCGTTCTATGGATGAAGGAGTCTTGATAAAGTGCTGTTCGACATCTTTCGAGGTTGACAACGAAAGGATGTGCTGACTGGGCTTGTCTAGTTCGTCTGATTGGTATTGCTAGTGAAGGGATGATAGCAGAGATTTCCGAAGAACATTTCCCGTGGAAGTATCGATAGAAAAGTGAAAGGTCGCCGACCTTTCTACGGTGTTCCAATGATGTCAAAGAGTGAGTGAGTGTGGCGTCACCCACCAGGCGAATGGCTCTTCTCTGGATGGAATCTAAGAGCATCAGCGTATGTTTTGGTGCTGAACCCCATATGTGGGAACAGTATTCAAGAACAGGCCGTATCTGCGCTTTGTAGATCATGAGAAGCTGTTGAGGTGTAAAGTAGCTTTTCGCACGGAACAAGAATCCGAGTTTTTGTGAAGCAGCTTTTGCGATGGATCTGACATGATTATCCCATGAAAGAGTGTTGCTGATGGAAATACCGAGCATAGATATGGTGGGCTTGGTGGGGATGGTGGCGCCAGACATTACAATATCAGGCATACTGAGTTCCGCCTTTCTAGAGAAAATGCAGGCTTGAGTTTTGGTGGCGTTGAATTCAACTAGGTTGTTTGTTCCCCAGGCTGTGATTTCAGCAAGATCTTCATTGACAGCATTGACCTGCCTGCGCCGTGAGTTCTTAGTTTCCTGGGAAGAAATGGGAATTCTGGAAGAGAACGCAGTGTGGAGGGTACTATCATCTGCAAAGCTGTGAATGGGGCAAGTTGTTACTCCCAACAGATCATTGATATGAAGCAGGAATAATGTTGGTGCCAAAATTGATCCTTGTGGAACGCCGGAATTGATGCCAATGGTATCAGACGATACACCGTCCACCACCACGTGAAGCGATCTGCCTGAAAGAAAACTCGATAAGAGATGGCATAGCTGAGGTGGTAAGCCGTATGATGGTAGTTTGTGGAGGAGTCCTTCGTGCCAAACACGGTCGAATGCTTTCGATATGTCCAACGCGACAGCTAGAGATTCCCCGTGTTTTTCTATTGAAGATTGCCATAAATGGGTGACGTAGGCAAGGAGATCTCCAGTAGATCTTCGGTGGCGAAAGCCGTATTGTCTATCATTGATGATTCCTGAGCTCTCTAGATATTTGATAAGCTCAATATTGATGGCTTTCTCCATCACTTTGGAGATTACTGATAACAAGGCAATGGGCCTGTAGTTGTTGGGCAGGTTCTTGTTCCCTTTCTTGGGGATTGGTTGGACTCTAGCTGTCTTCCAGCATGATGGAAAAATACCCGACCTGTACGAGATGGTAAACAACTTGCAGAGAATCGGTGTTAATTCTGGTGCACATTTCTTGAGGATAATGGGTGGAATTCCATCAGGACCGTTAGCCTTATTCGTCTTGAGACCAAGCAAAATTCGTCTGATAGTGCGTTGACGGAAGACGATTTCGGGCATTCGACTCTCAACGGGTGGAATGTCTGGCGGCAGTTTTCCTTGGGAATCTAAAGTAGAGTTTGCTGCGAACATCTCTGCAAAAATATTTGCTTTCTCCTGCGATGTTGTTGCTAATGTGCCGTCGGATTTGGACAGTGGTGGAAATGAACTATTAGTGAAATTTCTTCCGACCGCTTTAGCAAGGGACCAAAACGAACGGGAGCCATTGGGGCAATCTATGAGTTTCGATCTTATCTTGGCATTGTATGTTTCTTTCGAAGCATCTATTGTTTGGCTGCAGTTATTCCTGGCATCAACGTATTCTGCTCTAGTCGCGAGGTTAGGGTTTTTGCGCCAGCGATGGTAGGCTGTTTGTTTCAAGGCAACAGTTCTAGAACAGTTTTTGTTGAACCAGGGTTTCGAAGGTGATGATCTTTTCGAAAAATGAGGAATGTATGTGTCCATTCCGAGCATGATTATCTCGGATATTTCCGCAGCACACTGTGAAGGGTCCTCAGAGTCAAAGCATACTCTATGCCAAGGAAACTCGGAGAAAAACATGCGGAGACCGTCCCAATCTCCTGAATTGTAATGCCATATAAGACGTGGAGGTGCCGGAGCAGCCGATGGAATGAAAAATGGGCAGGTTGTGGAGATGAGTGTGTGGTCAGAATTGCCAAGTGGAGCTCGTACATCTATGGTGTAGGGTGCTGAATTATTAGTGAGGAATAAGTCAATTATGTTAGCTGAATGGTTATTGGCATCGGGAATTCGTGTGGGTTCTTTGATGAGCTGCTCTAAGCCGTGAGAGATGGCGAAAGCTTCGGCTTGTCGCCCAGCTTCATCCGTTCTGCTAGAGTGTACGAGCCAAGCAGTGTTGTGTACATTGAAATCGCCCATGATGATGATTTCTGCTGCTGGATGGTTCTGTTGAATTTGGTCAAGCTTCAGAGACAAGAATTCGAAGAGCTCTTCATAGGATGGATCATTTGGTGATAAGTAGAGACAACAAAGGTATTTGGTCTGTTTCTGGCTATCGAGTTTGAACCACATGACATCAAACTTGTTACTCAATAACACCAATTAAAATCATTTTGAAATCATGGGGCGTTCTCAGTCTTCATCCATACTGAATTTTGGCATCATAAAAGCTTATACAGGGGGGTTATAAATGAAAACAATTAATACTTCTTGAACTTGAACATCCAGTATCTAAAAAACGGATCAAGTTAGGAGATATGTTTATATGAACTTTATTTGCTAGCATACCATATGAATTTTTTCGGTGTTATATAGAGTGAATTGCTGAATTATTGGTAAGGAATAAATCAAGTATGTTGATGGCTGAATGGTTATTGACATCGGGATTTCGTGTGCTAATATTTTCGATATGTTTTGTGTATCTATTTATTCCATTCCATTCGTGTTTCTAACATATTATTACCACGGTTTTTGGAAAATTATTTTTTTTAGGTTATAAAATATCACTTTTCATAAATTACTTTTTTCCCGTGGGAAAAAAGTGAGTACTGTTTTCCCGGATATATATCACATATATATATACACTGTTAATGGCTTTTGTAGTGCTATAGTCCCGAAAAATGAGTCAATAATACCGTCTCCGAGAAAGAAGGAAAGAACTGCAAGTACTTTTATCTTCCATTCGACTTCGCGGTTACGTATATTACTATACAACCACTAAATTCGCAATTTTTTGAAATCAAATCACAGAATTAGACTGACAGAAGTGACATCAGATATTTGATTACTTCAAAAGAATGATGAAGATGCCTACAACCACAGTAATTTCACTTAGTGTCGGAACGTTTGATGTTGGTGTCCACAAGTTTTATTTTTTGCCCGACCAGTGCGCATACCACCACGCAGAGACTTGCGTGTTACGGGCTTGTTCTAGCCAATGGCAAGCCAATGACGCCTCGCTCGTCATCACTGAGGAATGCTGTGAAGTCACTGAATTTTATGTGAACAGGTCCGGCTTCAAACAAATAAATAGCCAGATAGGCGAAGATTCGCACTCATTGAATCATTGAAATTTTGATCATGAAAAAACTGATTTTAGTTTAATTTCTGGAAAATATTCTTGATGTTATTTTTGATTTCACATTACAAACAGTTTAACCACAGTATTTGTGGTTCAGCTGACAATAAGTATTATATTATGTAAGACAGTGATTGAAGAATTGTTTAAATATATCCAATGTTTTTATTCACTCTTCATTTTGATAAAGAAATGGAAATATAACCAACCTCAATATTCTTGAATTATTTTTTATTTCACACTGAAGTTCGATATGAGCAATTATAGAGATATAAAATGAATATTATCCAGAAGTTGACACTATATTCAACTGCATGTTCAACAGAAATGTATGGATATAATAATACAGTAGGTATATGTTTATACCACACTGTGTTTTATAATGAATAAATAATGGCAATGGAAAACAAACAGATATAGATGCCTGTGGATACAATTTTGCTTACCTTGCTCATCTTTTGGAAATCTGAAGAAACTCAAACTGCAATCTGTCCTACTATTTTTGCTACAGATGAAACAGTAGGCACCCATTATCTTCCAATGATAAACAGTTTGATGAACAGTAATATATCTGGTATTATCACAAGCACTCGAAAGTAAAACGGTTCACCAGAAGCTGTGACCTCACATATGAAGTTTATGATGCACAATAAATATAACAGCAATCAGGAACATGCGTGGTTCACGAAACAATACCAGGCAAAATAAATAAATCGTGATAGATTTTGGTGGTTCCAATCACAGAATGAATCACAAACAAAGGCATATAAATCAAAGAAGTGTAAACAAAACACCTGCCCTGCTAGCCGAGCCACTGCGCATACTAGCCAGGAGTGGACATGCGCACTGCGATTTTAGGGACACGAAAAGATCTAAGTGAAATTACTGTTCCGCTAGGGTGTATACTGTGCTACAACCATGGACGTATCTACAACGCAAGTGTCCCTACTGTTAAAAACTTAAAATTTCACGTCGATAATTTTCAGATTTCAAAATAATATCTTCTCAATATTGATTCGTCCTTTCTTCTTTCACAGAAAAAATAGTGTATAAATATATAAATATATATATAATAAATAACTATCTATACTTTTTAGTTTGGCTACATATATCTATGAAAGCGAGTTTTTAATTTTTTTTCATTCCAGGGTGCGAGAGTATGGATCCCCCACCCCGACCAGGTGTGGCAGGGGGCGGAACTTCTCGAGAACTACAACCCCTCGAAGCCCACCCTGGCCGTCGCGACGGACGACGGCGGCACCGCGACGCTCCAGCTCAAGTCCGAAAAAGATTTGCCCTTCCTGCGCAACCCCGCCATCTTGGTGGGCGAGAACGACTTGACGGCGTTGTCGTATCTGCACGAGCCGGCGGTGTTGCACAATTTGCAGGTGAGCACTATGGTTTTCGATTGGGTTTTACGCATATACGTGTTAATAAACAATATGGATAATCTCTATCTGTTTCCATAGCGAAAGAGGACCCTTTTTTTTAAGACATGCGCATGCTCAAATGCTCAAGTTCAAATGACAGACACATCATCGTCGTAACCAAACTATTAATCTTTGACATAACATTCATAGATATTTATGCACAAAGATCTAAAATATGAGAAATATGGTGGAACCCTAGCCGTGGCACTTGATATCTCCAAGGCATTCGATCGAGTCTGGCACCACGGACTCCTCGCCAAGCTTCCATCTTATGGCTTGCCTCCCCAGCTATGCTCTCTGCTAGCTAGTTTTCTCTCAAACAGGTCTCTTCATGTAGTAGTCGACGGAGTTTCATCTGACTCTCTATCATAAATACTGGTGTTCCGCAAGGATCAATTCTAGCACCAACACTATTTCTACTCCATATCAACGATTTGTTGGAAGCAACTTCATGTCCAGTACACAGCTTTGCGTATGATAGTACCCTCCATACCACCTTCTCTTCTAGGGCTTCAATAGCAGCCAGGCAAATCAGAAACGAACGAGGGAGAAATGTTGACAACATAAATATGGACTTGACAACAATGGAAATCCAATAACTCAGTAGATTTCAATGCAAACAAAACACAAGCATGCCTTTTCTCTGGAAAAGCCGATCTCACTGTGGCAAACATAAGCTTGTCAGGGGTAACCATACCTTTGAAGACATCCATTTCGATGCTTCGTTTTACTATCAGCAATAACCTTTCTTGGTAAAATCTCGTGAGATCAATTGCTGAAAGTGCATCCCAAAAACTTGGTTTTCTGTTTCGGGCCAGGAGCTATTCCAATTCCAGTCAGCTGCTCATGATCTATAAAGCACAGATCCGACCTTTCCTGGAGAACTGTTTCCATATTTGTAGTGCACCACCCAAACATACCCTGAAACTGTTGGATTGTGTCAAAAAAGGGCAATTCGTCTCGTAGGTGATGCCTCGCTCACAAACTCACTCACTTCTCTGGAACACCATAAAAAAGTTGGCGATCTGGCTCTATTTCATAAATATTTTCATGGACGATGCTCTTCTGAGATATTAACAATTGTTCCTCCCTTGGCAGTCCCCGTGAGATTGACCCGTCGAGTTCGGGCTTCGCACCCCTTCGTGGTCACTTTGGAAACCTGCAGAACATCTCTTCCCAAAGACTCGTTCATCCAATGAACAGCGAGGCACTGGAATACATTGCCAAGGGAGGTGTTCCGCGAGGCATATAACCTCTAGAAGTTCAAGAAGAACACCAATTCCTACCTTATTTCCCTTGGTTCTAACGATGTTCTCTGAACATTACAGGATATCCCTTTTCGTGGGAACCAGAACATAAAAAAAGTTTTTTTTTATGTTTTACCCCCTTACAAAAATATCTGGGTATGCCCCTGAGGTCGTGATTAATTCTCAGTTTTCAGATGATATCGAGTAAATTTCGGAATTGCGTATTCTGAATATAATAAATATACTTATAGAAACAATTTCATCTTTTTTGCAGGTCCGTTTTTGTGAGAACAGGGACATTTACACCTATTGTGGAATAGTTTTGGTTGCCATCAACCCTTACGATGAACTTCCTATATATGGTAAGTTGGAGAACTCAAAACTTTGCTTTGTATCAAAGATTCACCCTTCTGGATAGAAATGAAAAGTTAACCTACTGAAGATCGAGGTCTATGCTGTCTCAAATTCATATATTAATAATATTCCAAGCACAACATAAGCTTGTCAGGAGTAACCATACCTTTGAAGACATCCATTTCGTTGCTTGGTATTACTATCAGCAATAACCTTCCTTGGGAAAATCACGTGAGATCAATTGCTAAAAGTGCATCCCAAAAACATTGTTTTCTGTTTCGGGCCAGGATCTATTTCACATCCAGTCAGCTGCTTATGATCCATAAGGCACAGATCCGACCTGTCCTGGAATACTGTTCCCATATTTGGTGTGCAGCACCCAAACATACCCTGAAACTATTGGATTCTGTCCAAATAATGGCAATTCGTCTCGTGGGTGATGCCTCCCTCACAAACTCACTCACTTCTCTCGAACACCGTAAAAAAGTTGGCAATCTGGCTCTTTTTCATAGATATTTTCATGGACGATGCTTTTCTGAAATATCAACAATTGTTCCTCCCTTGGCAGTCCCCGCGAGATTCACAAGTCGAGTTGAGGCATCGCGCCCCTTCGTGGTCACTTCGGAGACCTGCAGAACATCTCTGTCCAAAGACTCGTTCATCCAACGAACAGCGAGGCTCTGGGACACATTGCCAAGGGAGGTGTTCCCCGAGGCATATAACCTCCAGAAATTCAAGAAGAACACCAATTCCTACCTTATTTTCCTTGGTTCTCACGATTTACTCTTCACAACGTTGAATGACATTGAATCATAAATGGAAAAGGGACATATTTCGGATCTATAGTCGTCCCGCCGAAAATGTAAGAGCACATGTAGAAATCCATCAGCCGATTAATAAATTATTCTATAAAGAACAAAGCAACAATAATAGGGTATCAATGAGTTTGACATTGACATTTGGTCACATGTTATCAGGTTAATCCAGTGATATCAAGATGAAAACGTTTTTTCATTTTCGGATGTCTTTCGACCTCCTAATGTGGCGATTCCACTGGCTTATTGGGCACAGGGCCCTTGGTTAGAAAACCTGTTACAACACAAACGTATTTTCTCTGTTACATTTTTCATAACATAATTTTGTAACTTCATGTGATTCCAATTATTGTTTTCTTCTCCACGTGAGTACTACCATGTTTTATCATTGAAGAAACCCTGATATTGTTACTTTGTTCTTTGGATAATAGTTTCTCAATCGGCTGATGATGAATACTCTATTGATCCGAAACATATCCCCTTTTCATTTATGATTTGATGATATTAAACGTTGTGGAGACCACATGGAGTATTATTACTATATGAAATGGAAAGTTCTTTCAAAAAATTTAAAAAATACTCATAGTTCCAGTTTTAATCAAAGATAAAAATGAGATTTTGATAAAAAAAACCAACAGTAACGTATGATTTTGTATAATAAATATATCAGCTTGAGATGTTGTGTATTCGTTCATATTATCTAATAGTCAGCCGCATTATGTTGTGTGTTGAAAACACTGAATATATTACCGTGAAACCAGAACTTCAAGTTACTATCCATTTTTTATGCTTATATTGAATGATGTTAATTTCACTCTGTAATTGGACACATATCTGGAACGATTAAATTTCCATGTAAAATGATATACACATGAGTCATTCACCATATCGATTGGAAATTATATCCAATTATAAAATATATATATGATTTAATATTGAACGAAAATGGAATATGAGAGCAAAAATTATAGTATTTTCACTTATACGGTGGAGATCACAAAAATACAAGACTCTATTATATCTACATTTTGATATTCCCGCAATGTTTCATTTTACATTTGAGTTTTGAACAATATTTCTGCATTTTACTTCTGTTATATAACTTTGAAATCTTTTTGTTACCTACCTCATTCATGTTAAAATTTTTCGTAGATTAGACTAGTAGTGATATTGATTTCATATACCTACAATTATTCCAAGTTATGCCTGTGTTATAATTCGGGAATTAATGAAATAAATTACTCCCGATTTTTGTCAGAAACCTCAACTACCATCCATTTTTATTTGATAATTTTCCCGATTTTGAACTGATTTCCTGGCGACATTGATGTGACATACGTTATATACTTGCCCTGTTACACCCACATTGAAATCCCGTATGTAACATTCCAGGAATATTGCAGTGACATTGCAGATAATTCATCTGTGAATATGTCGCATTAACATACTTAAATAACCAGGACCTTTATATGTGATGTCACGACACCCTTGTGACACGTCACATTGTGACATAATTTCGTTCCAGAATAGATACAGTCCAGACAACTTCATCTGAATTTATGATATTTTCATTTTGATATCTCTGTAATCTGCAATGCAATTGTTATACAGGTACTATGTAATGTTATATTTCCTAGTAGATATCACATGTTGTGTTTTGACTTATCTTACACATCTACAAAGTCGTTCATTTATATAGGCTTCTCTCAATGCTGTGTTGTTGACACCTGTTCCTGTAATATATATATATGAAATGTCACAATGTGATATCTTGTGATTTCGGGATTTCCCTCATCATGCTCAGAATCTGTACAGATTCGACATCTGCGAGTTGCCGGTAGAAATTTGATGATCCCTTGGCAACATTGATATGATATGACAAGATAATTGAGCCTAACCTTTGGTGTCAGAGTCACAAAAGTAACATCGGTTAGAAATCACTAAAAGTGTTTCTGATATTCAGATAACCTAGATTGCAACACCCAACGATATGATGAAATGATATCGCAGCTAGATCGCAGTTATATCGCCTTGATATCGTATTTATATCATTGGTATGTCATAATCACATCTTGGAAATGTCGCAGAGTGACTTATCCGGATTTCGTTCCAGATATTGACACGATCCAGACGTACAGGGGCCAGGCGTTGGGCAACCTCGATCCGCACATCTTCGCCGTAGCTGAGGAGGCGTACACGCAACTGGAGCGCGAGCAAAGGGACCAGAGCGTTATCGTGTCGGGGGAGAGCGGGGCAGGGAAGACGGTGTCTGCCAAGTACGCGATGCGGTATTTCGCCACCGTCGGCGGCAGCGTCGTCGAGACGCAAGTCGAGAAGAAGGTGCTCGCCAGCAGTCCCATAATGGAGGTGAGAACGGCTCACAATTAAGTGACACATGATAAAGTGACCCACAATAAAGATACCAATAATAAAATTAATCATAATCAAGTAACCCATACCAAAGCGACCAATAATATGATGAAGTGTACCATAATGAAATGTCTCACAATAAAGTTTCCCACAAAAAAATTTGCCCACAAAAAATGACCAACAATGAAGTGACAAACAATGGAATTCTCTTGATGTGATCGCAATGTAGTGATGTAGGGGAAGAGCGGAACAGGAAAAACGGTGTCTGCCAAGTACGCGATGCAGTAATTCGCCACCATCGGAGGCAGCGTCGTCGAGACGCAAGTCGAGAGAAAGGTGCTCGCCAGCAGTCCCATAATGGAGGTGAGAACGACACGCGATTAAGTGACTCATAATAAAGTGACCCATAATAAAGATACCCATGATAGAATTTATCAATGAAGTAACCCATGATAAAGCGCCCCATATTATAATGAAGTGACCCATAATGGAATGTCTCACAATGAAGTTACTCACAAATAATTACCCACAATGAAGGGACTAACAATGGAATTCTCTTGAAGTGATCGCAATGTAGTGATGTAGGGAAAGAGTGGGGCAGGAAAGACGGTGTCTGCCAAGTTCGCGATGCGGTATTTCGCCACCGTCAGAGGCAGCGTCGTCGAGACGTTTGTCGAGAAAAAGGTGCTCGCCAGCAGTCCCATGATGTAGGTGCGAACGGCTCACAACAAAATTACCCATGATAAAGTGACCCACAATACAGATACCCATATAAGAATTACTCATAATGAAGTAACTCATAATAAAGCGACCCATAATATAATAAAGTGACCCATAATGAAGCGACCCATAATGAAAAGTCTCACAATGAGCTGATCGCAATGTAGGAAAAGAGTGGGACAGGGAAGACATTGTCTGTCAAGCACACGGTGCAGTACTTGTCGGGACGCAAGTTAAGAATAATGTGCTCGCCAGCAGTCCCATCATGGAGGCGAGAACGGCTCACAATAAGGTGACCCATAATCACGTTGTTACCCACATCGAGGGATCCCATGATAAAACTACTAACATTGAAGGGTCCCATAATAAGAATGATCCACAATGAAGATAACCATAATAAAATTATTCACATTGATGTAACCCATAATAAAGCGACCCATAATAAAATGACTCATAATGAAGTGCTTCTTAATGAACTGACCCTTAATAAAATTACCCACAATAAAACGACCCACAATAAAATTATCGCCATGAAATGACCGCCATGGAGTGATAACGATTATTGTAACTAACAATTATTCGTTGGAAATATGTATCGATTCTCTTGAAGTCATCGCAATGTAAGTCCCCAAGAAGTAGTCAAACGAAGTCATTACAACAATGTGATCGCCATAAAACAATTTATATGAGGTTATCCTCATTAATTGTTCCTTGAAAGGTTTACAAATAATCGCTATGAAATGATCACAATGTAGTAATCCCCATGAAATAGTTCCAATGAAGTGATCGCATGAAGTGATCACAATAAAGTAATGAAAATTTGCAGATTATCATCGATTGGTTAAAGAGATTGCCGTGAAGTGATCACTTTAACTGAGGCTCAGAGATCAATGACAAAATTGTTCCTATATGAAGTGATCGAAATGTAGTTATAACTTTGAAGTGACACTGGTGAAGATCCCACAAAGTTGAAATACTTTCAATTATAACACTACTCGATCTGACTGAAGTCATCAGTCAACGTAATATGTGCTGACTAGTTAGGATACAAAGCAATATAATAATTATGATGCCAACAATCCTTTTTGAAGTAATTCCCATGAAGAAGAAGGGTTTGAAACGAATTGAGCCCCATCAAGTGTTCGCGCAATGAAGTGATTCCCATGAATTGTTCAATATATGATGTAGTCAAAATGAAGTGTTCCCAATTAATAGATTTTCATGAAGTAAGCTCCATGAATTGATCACGATTACGTGACTTCCATGGAGTAATCACAATGAAGTGATCCCATGAATTGGTCCACATGATGTGTGATCTATCATGAAGTGATCTCAATGCATGTATTCCCATACATTATCTAAATGACCGAGATGACACCATCAGGAAATGATTACCTCTAAACTGATTCACTGATTAGATGATCGGTATGAACTGATCACCTTGGAGAAAGTCATGCGCAGTTTTATTTCACTTGTTTCTTGTTTACAGGCCATTGGGAATGCAAAGACTACGAGAAACGACAACAGTTCGAGATTCGGAAAGTTCATCGAGCTGCAATTCAACAAACAATTCCATATAGTAGGCGCTTCCATGAGAACGTATCTTCTAGAGAAATCAAGGGTGGTATTTCAAACGACTGAAGAGAGGAATTACCACATATTCTATCAGTTATGTGCTGCTAGGAAAAAACTACCTCAATTATTTTTAGGTAATTAGGATGATTCGAGCTTCATGTAATCCTGAACCTTTGTCGATCTAAATGGAAAATCTAGTTTGCTAAATAGTAGGCGAGAGTTATATAACTGTCTGTTCATTAGAAAAAATAATTCAGAAAATGTGACAGTATCCTATACCGTATAGAGACATCTACATGAACACATGAATCAAGTTGTTCATTTTTCATTTCTAACCTAATAATTGTCATGTTCCTGTCCAGTATAGACTGTCAAGTTCGTGCATAGAAAATTCTCATATTGTAACTCGAGGTTGAAACATCATCAATAAAACGTAAAAAATCATCCATACTCATACATACAAGTGGTATAATGTATTTTCAATGAAAATAAATACACAGAGTGAGTCGACCACACTTTGAAGTGTATTTATTTTCATTGATTATCAATAAAGATCGAGTATGAGAATTTTCTATCTATACTCGAATGGAAGCAAGAAGTTGTTTACGGAATGCTATATTAACTCGATTTATGATGCTATTTGAATTTGAGTATAGGAACTGCGGAAACCTCGGTCGAAACTCGTGTGCTACGATGAAAAAACGTTAGGTAGATACTGTTGAGCTTTTTTTCCCATCGAGCCAAGCAGGAAGGTAGGGGATTATTATTATTCTTCATATTTTTTATAAGACTTTGTAATTCATGAAATGGAACACGACAGTTCATACGCGACGCAAATTCTTGTCTTGATAACAACTTCTTCTCTTGTCTTGAGAAAAAGTCAGGAAATTTCGAGAAATCTTGTCTTGACGTTTTTATTGACATATCATTTCTTGTCTTGACTCAAGAAATTTCAAAATCAGGAAATTTCTTGATTGACCGGTGACACCGTTCCCAGAGTTGCCATCTCGATTTTTATTTCATCAGTAGATATATACCTTGTCAGAAATTCAGTAAATTTCAGTAGGTTTATTTCTTGCTTTACAAAAAATATGTATTTTCTGTGACGGGAAAAAAGTTTGACATTTTATCTATGTTGACACGAAACGAAATGTCACTTTTCATAAAATTACTTTTTTCCCGCAAAAAAGTGAATTTCTTTTACCAACATTTCAAGCGCTTAGACGCGTTAGGATATAATCAGTGGCGCCAGAAAATTTATTTACTAGTGAGTCTATGTGATTAACTGAAGAAAAATATTAATAATTATAATGATGAATAGGTGTCATAATTGTTTTCAGTAGATTATGACTGTTTCAGTAAATCAGTAGATGAATATGCAAATCAGTAGATCTCCTGAAAATTCATTAAAACTAGCAACCCTGTCGCATGTTGACACGGCAACCTGGTGGTTCCCGATCTTTATTTTTGTTTTCTGACGAAAACAAACGACGTCACTGACTTATTGAAACAAATGAACTATTGTCAGTTTCCTATACAGTAGCGACATATTGATTGGCAGACACATTTTGGGTCAGAGATCAGACAATATTGGGAGTCACACTTGATTAGAAATAAAGTTTTGAAGTCCATATTATAATAATGTTGTAACGAAATCTTTGAGAAACCTAGGGTCCATTAGGAGAATTACAGAAGAGTCAACTTGTACTAGATCTTGTATTACCTTATATAATTCATTGGTGAAAAGCCATTTGGAATACGCTTCTATTGTCAGGAACCCATTTTATGCTGTATATTTTATATTGATCGTCAAAAAAAAAATTATATCAATAACAAGTTTAACAAAAACCGATTTTACGAATCATATCATATCAGAGTAATAATATATATATAGAATATCAGTTCTATAGAATGGATAGTCTTGTAAACCGTAGAAAAATTTCTCATGTAATTTTTCTCTATAAAGTTATCAACAATGAAAATAATGGTTTAATTCATATTAGTAATGATTTGTCATTTAATGTTCCTAGATCGAATTATTGTTCTAACCCTCCAATAAATTGAATGATTCAAACATATAATAATCAGTTTTCTGATGTCGACAAGGACTTGTTTAACAAAAATTAGATGATTTTTCATTGGTACGCAGTACACATATAGTATGATAGTTATCTATTTGTATTTAGTGAACTATTTTTTTTTGTCATAGAATCATTTGTGAATTTCGTTTCTACTTTACTTTGTATATGATTGAAATAATTATTCCTTTTTTTCTTCAGTACGCAACCATTTGAATTAGCAAACATTCAATATGTTGATTATTTTTGTTGATTAGGGTAACCCTATAACTGGGAATTGGTTCTAATTCCTGTTGGGTTTCCAAATGAATAAATAAATGAATATTATAACTCGCCTACCGACTAGCTTTTTTCATTTAGATCGACAATAGCTGAACAAAACGTGGCTTCTGTCAATCCTGTGTTTGTTGCTAGTTCACTGTTACCGTTTCGAATTTTTGTTTCAGATCACCAAGATCACTTCCACTACCTCAACCAAGGCGGCAGCCCCGACGTCAACGGCGTCGATGATGCTGAGACTTTCGAGGAGACCGTGAACGCGTTGAACTTGCTCGGATTCTCCGAAAAGGAACAGATCGACATGTTCAAGGTGTTCGCCTCTGTACTGCACCTCGGCAACATCAGGTACTTGGAGGGCATCATCGAATCGGAGAACGAACAGGATCAGGAAGGGTGTCTGATCGAGGTGAGAATCTAGGTTTCTGTTGATTTTTGCATCCCTCTCCCACTCGCTCTTTTTTTTTCAACAATTTGCGTTCGCAATGGTCATTTGAAGACGTAAAACTACGGGAAAACATCTATAACTCTTGGCATTGATGGTGAGTAATGGCGAGTTCACATGAAAAAGTTGGAAAAGTGAAAGTGACTGCCACATATTTGGTTAAATTTCAGATGTACGTCCTCCAGAAACCACATTTATCACATTTTTAGGAGTGTTTTTCCAGTACTGTTTCCCACACTGCATAATATGATGATATAGCACCAATATGTTTTCATTTTGTCAATATTTGTGTGGTTCTGTCAAATCTGAGCTTTTTCCGCAAAAGTCGGACTGAAACCGACTTTCTAGCTTATGACCTCGATAAGCGCTTTCTGACGAATCGGCCAATGAGATGAGGATACGCTGTAAGTGAAAAGGCGAAAAGCCAGCATGCGAACGCGCCAGGTGAGTTAGATAAACATGTTTTCCATCCCTTCCCGTCTCCCTCCTTTTTCTTCAAGAATTCGCGTTCGCCAAGGTCATTTGATGACGTAAAACTTCGGGAAAATATCTATATAGTTATATAACTCTTCACATTGATTGAAAGTTAATAATGTCATCGCAATGTCATATAACCTTGGTGACCGCGAATACCATATGTGTCTAGCCAGACCAACGAATCTCGAACATCGAGGTCAAGTGACGTCACCCACAACACATAATATTTTTTCCTTCTTCATATGGGGAAACTACGACTACTTCGAGTAAAACAATAGCTTAGTGGTCTGTGTATCTGACTTCCACGGTGGTGACTGGGATCCCTGCGAGTCGTCAATTTTTTTCTTCAATTTTTGCACTCAATCAATTCTTGAAAAATATACTATCGAAAAAGGTTTATTTAGGAAAAGCAAGGTTGAAAGTACTTTCCTTGCTCATGCAGAGCAGAAGAGATATTGTCCTTCCTCATATCACCTCATAAGTCTTTTATAAACCAAATTACCTTCTGATAACCTTGAGGTTTGGAAGAATTGCTGGTCTAGCTGAATGCTTGTCAAATAGAGCAAGCTAAATTGTTTTAAAATTGTTCTATCGGTTGAAATACAAGATTTAATTAACTAATAAGAGATGACGGATCAATCAGCTGTTCAAGATATTTCCATTCATTTTCCTGGTGTCTTTTTTACCAATCTCATGTCAAAGAATAGTAGGTTACTCACACCACGAAGTCTGAAGTAGATACAATGTATTTTTATATCGAAAACCTCCAGAAAAAGGTAAATCTTTGAAAAACAATAGAACAGGTTTTCTTTTTTTTTCACTAGTACGTATACAGGGTGTTCCTAAAATCAATCAAAGACATATAACTTCTTGGTAGGTATTTTGATTTTATTTTCTTTTATACATTCACTTTTCTGTTCTTCGAGAACAACGAATTTTCTTCATTTATTTGTTCAGCTATATTTTCTCAAATATATTGTTTCATCTGGATAAAGCAGTTTGTTTCATCTGGAAAAAGCAGTGAGAACAACACAATGTTCCTTCAAATTCAACATGTCTCAAATTAATTGTTAAATTAAATGAATCTATGCACACAGTCAGGTACCAAGAATCGTTTTGAAATCATAAATTATGATTCTTCAGATAAATTTAATACTTTTTGAAATTAAGGCGGGCCTTTCGCGACAGCTTTCCGACCGAATATAGCCTATATATATATATACTAGTTCAACAACTATTTCTAGGTGTCAGTGTGATGTCGAAATCGGAATAAAATAATTAAATTACAGCTTTCACAGCTATTGTAGAGTTCTTCGATTTCGTCTGTTACAGCAGGTCACCAATAGGTGGCACACAATTGAATGCAATCGTAGGTAATTGTATTATGTACGTGCAGTGTTGCCAGAGCTACTGCTCCACGGGCCTGCTCAACATGATTCCACTTTTCACTCCATTCAAGTCAAGCAAATACCATACCTATATCTCGCTACAATGAAAATTTATGTCATGAGTCATTTTTGAAACTGTCTTCACAAGTAGTCTTTCGAATATTTCTTTTCCTTTTTAATTTCATTTCCTACTAATATAACTTATCATTATTGGCATCGCCAGAAAAACTTCCAAGGATGGGGATCGAAATCATTGTTCAGGGCAAAATACTCAAAATAGTCTGTGTAATTCAGAAATAATGTGTGCAAGATTTTTTATCAAGTTCAGATGGCTATAAATAGAAATTTCGTGTTTTCTGTATAGGGTATATACGTAGACGATTGCCTAGTTTCAAATATCTTCATTCTTACGAATTCACACTGCTATTACTGATATAAGGGTTATATTGATATATACAGTGTGTAGAATGAAAGAAATCCTTGATTCAAATTTCATGTTCTCTAATTCAGACCTGCTTGCTGAAATACAAATTTCGATCATAATTGCACTTATGAAAAAAACAATTTTTTCGAAGTGAGAACTTCTAGGCGCGTTGAGCACTTTTTTGGGTGGAGAAAAACATTGGATTTCGCGTCATCGTCACGACCCGTTCCGTGTCTCGTTATCGCGAGGTCAATGAATAGCAATAAATTTGAAGGGTGCAGTATCGCATCTCATCACATATTATGTAGTATTTTGTAATTATGATTAGATTCTATTCTAAATTTGTATATGGAGGTTTTCGGGGTCGGAGATTATGATTCTTTCGTGAAAATTAGGATATTGAAGATGGCTGACGAGTTTTATAATAATTATGATCCCATTCTATTCAAAATTGGTGTCTGGGGGTTCTCGGCGTCGGAGAGATTATGATTCTTTCATCATGGCTCCACCAATATGGCGCACGAGTTTCGTAATTATGATTCTATGCCATTTGAAATTTGTATCTGGGGTTTTTTGGGGTCGGAGATTATGAATCCCGAAATGAAAAAATTCAAGATGACGGATTCAATATGGCGGACGAGTTATGTGATGATGATTCTATCCTATTCAAAATTTATATATAAGGGTGTTTGGGGTCGGAGATTATGATTCTATCGTCAAAATTGGGAAATTCAAGATTGCAGATCCATTGAAGCGGACAAGTTTTCTAATTTTATTATCCGATTCTATTCAAAATTTTTACTGGTGTTTCAGGGGTCGGAGATTTTGAATCATTTGTCAAAATTAGGAGATTCAAGCGAACACCATCTCAAAAGTTTTTGTTAGTCTATCTTAGACAGCGAATGTTTTTAGGTAATAAAGTTTGTCGAGTTGATAAAAATTCTGTTTGATAGTGATAAAACAGTGTATAGTGTGAGTGTGATTATATCGTACCAAAGTTTCCAGGATTCCCTGGTTTCGGTCTTCAACATAACGGTGAGAAATTGATTTGCCATCATATGCTTTCTATATCTCACAATCCATTTTGTTTTAATGGTCAACTTTTTTTAAATCATTTAAAAATCGAATTATAATGAAAAAAATATAAGAAAATTATGTTCATGCTGATATAAAACTCACAAAGTTATTGTATGAGGAAATTTAAAATGAAATATTTTTCTTGAACAACCTGTTTCTCCAAAACTAACAACATTTTCTATGAGAGATGTGAGGCTGCATCTTGATATTCTGATGTTTACTATTTCTAGCTCACACATTGACCATTTTCATGCTGATTTAAAACTTACAAAGTTATTGTATGAGGAATTTCAAAATAAAATATTCTCCTTGTACACCCTGTTTCTCCAAAACTAACAGCATTTTCTATGTGAGATGTGAGGCTGAATCTTGATATTCTGATGTTTACTATTTCTAGCTCACACATTGACCATTTTGAATGAATAACCCTGTATATATTTCAAAGAAAATTTTAATATCACGGAATTCATTGAATTTCAAAAATCTTCCCCAAAGAAGATGTAAGTGGAATATGAAGTATCTACCTACGATAATTCTCTAAAACATGAACTGGATGTTCGATAACGTCTCCAAATGTCTCGAAAAAAAGCGGCTGCTATATTTTCAAATATTTCGTATGTGGGCTGACTTTCCTGTTGCCTCGCTTTTCTGCCCATTCTTATGAATTTTTGCGACATATCATTTGCAGCAGCTTGCAACACTGGCTTTTCAATTATTGATTATATGCCGGTTAGTTTGAAGTTCATCTGAAGTTCACGCAATTCAAAGTGGCACGTGGCGGACTGCGGAAAGACGGGGAATCACCGCGCGACCAATGAATATCCCCCCGGTTCGCCGCGGGAGGGAGAGAGACATATAACGATTTCTCGCTCAGTTTTGTTTTGTTGCCGTGGCGGTATTATCCTTTGTGAATATCGCCATATCAATGGATCCAAAATCCGATAACTGTACTCTGAGACGAATGTTTTTGCATGAGTTTTAGAGTGAAATAACCTGAACTTTTGACACAGATTAACAAAGCTTTTTGAAGTTTGTTCCACAACTGTGCCATTCCTATTATTTCCATCTATGCTGACATAATTATCGATCTCATGAATAGAATTGAAGAAATTCTGCTGAATTTGTATGTTTAAATTTTCAGGTCTACTTATATAATTATAATTCAGTGACAAATTCTAGGCCGTTTCAAACTACTCGAAAACCCCCAGATACCAATTTTGGATGGAATCTGACCATAATTACAAAGCTCGTCCGCCATATTGGATCCGCCATCTTGAATTTCCAAAATTTGACGAAATATTCATAATCTCCGACCCCGAAAACCCCTGAGTACCAATTTTGATTGAAATCGGATAACTATACTCGGTCGCTATATTGGATCCGCCATTTTGTATTTTCTATTTAAAAAATAGATTACGACCGATTCTCATACCTACCGAATACGCACAAAAAATTTCATACGAATCGGTCGAGCCGTTTCGGAGGAGTTCGACCACTATGACCGTGACCGTGACAGGAGAATTTTATATATTAGATTTGTTCGTCTTACAAACACCTCCCCTTGAAATATGCCCAGATAATTGAATAATACCCTCTGT